TCATATGCCAAATATGAATTTTTTTTGTTAAGTCTTAAGGTTTCTAAAGCAATGTTTTTTTCATGCCTTTTTGTTTTCTTTTTCCATGTTGCCTATCAAACATGCAAAGTAATTTTCATTTTAAGATTAAAAATACTTTTATGCATCAGAAAATTTTCAAATTTCACATGCGAAATACTTATAATGTCCAGATAGTTATCAAATGTTTCTTAAGAAAAAACTTTGTATTGTATCTGTTTTTTTCAGTAACAAATCCCTGTATAGGTTTGGTCAATTTGACCGATCTCATAACCACCATAAAAAAAATTAGGTAATAAGTATAAATTATGCCTCTTTCATTCTAGAATGACAACAAATTATAACACGTAAACATAAATGCTTAGACTAAATAGCTTAAATGTCATAACATTATACATTCATAAATATTTATTATTTTTATTGTATTGACTTTTCTGCCATACCTGGCTAATAATACAGAAGCTAGAACGATGAAGTACACATGAATTAATGTTACTGTATCCAATAATATAAAACTGATCTTTAGTCTTTACAAAGTGACCTGTCTTAGCTGTGTTTTAGTAGACTAATTTCAATTATTATACATTATATATATATATATGCACATTGATTATTGCTATTTAGAAATAAGTTCTTAAACTTATTTTCTTAAAATATAGAACAGTAAATAAAGAAGTAAAGCAAACAATTATTTCTTCTAGTTACAACCTTTGTACTCAGTTGTTAAGCCTTTTAAAATTTTGCATGTGTAGGATATGAGACGAAATATTTTTTTAGGTTTTATATATACTGTTGAATAACCAAATCTTAAATTATTATATCACTACCATAGAATTCCACTATAATTTATCAAGCTTAGTAACTATACTGTATTTCAGTCTAAAGAAATATCGAATTACGAGCAGAGTAAGGACACAACCTATCCAAACATGTTAAAATGGCTGAGAAAGCCACTAGGGGGACATTTTGAATTTTTGATTGATTATTCATGTCATATATA